ATTTTTGAAATCCATTTTTGAAAAAGCTTGTTTCTGTTCCTTTGCCAGGCACTAAGCAATAACGAAGCTGTGGTAGAAAACGCCCTGGGGGGCTTACTCCCGCAAACCTCCGTGGTGGCAAGCGCTTGCAGAGGGGTTCAGTGAGTTTAGGCTTGACCAGTGCAGGTATGGCAGGCCCTTCCAGAAACCCACCGGGATTTTAAGCACCTCTGAAAAGTTCCGGTCCCTAAGCAAGCGCTGTCAATGCCAAGTTAACCACGAAAAGTTAGAAGGTAGTCGCACGAGTGCCGCGGCTGAGTACCCTGTTGAGCTTTGCAGAGCTGTTGCACAGATTGCCTCCGACTGGGCAAAAATGAAAGTCTCTCAGCATGGCTTTCCTTCAACTTGTGACGAGCAGACGCGAGGGGAGCAGCAGGAAAGTGTAGCAGATCATCGCAGGGCAGGTCGGTTTGTGAGTCATTTGTGGAGCACTCATTTGGCTGAAGCACTTCCTTGGCGCCCGCTCAGGCGTTACACTTTCAAAAGGCCAAGTCACATTGATGTTCTTGAGAGCCATGCTTATAAGACTCTAATGCGGGCAGTTCCAATGCACAGCCGTTTTGTTGTTTTTCAAGATAGCATGGTGTGCTTGGGGGCGTCAGCGAAGGGTCGTAGCTCTAGTAATGCTTTAAATCGGGTGTTGCGTCAATCCATGGCTTTACAGTTAGCTAAGAATCGGTATCCAGTAGGTCACCATACTCCCACATGGGCGTTGAGAGCTGATGACCCTTCTCGTGCACGAGCCATACGTGCTCCCCGAACACAGCTGCCGCATTGGTTTCTTCAATTGCGCTTGAAACAAGTTAGCTGTGCGCAAGACAGCCTGGATGGTTGTTCTGGAACTTCGCGTGCTCTGGGGCGCTGGTTACTTTTTCTGGGTTCCTCGCTTTTGGTTGCTAGTGGCAACTTTACTACCGTTCGTGACTGGGCCGAGGCCTCCACTCCTGCCCAGAGACAGGCGGGATCTGGAGCGTGGCAGGGTTACCGCAGCCACTGCCAGCATACGGCAGAACCTCAGTCAGCTGGCCTTGAGCAGCCCAATACAGACTTCTTTGATGCTGGAGGAATATGGCCGCTATCTTTACGAGAAAGGGGCTCCTCGAAGAGATTATGCCGAAACCATCAACGTGATGGTCCAAAAGTTCCCCTGCATCAGGACGTTCCTCACGGGCCCATGGCGGCTGCTGACGACCTGACAAACTTTATGGCCAGGAAAGCTGCATCCTCCGATGCCGCTCCCACTTCTGAAGGCGCTGGTGGCAGCTACCCCATCCTGGGGGTGGACACGTTTCGCCATGCTCCTCTTGATCGGCTTTTTTGCCTTGTTGCGACCTTGCGAACTGCTATCACTCAAAGTCGAGGACTTCATGGGGGTTCAGCAGACAGGACTCCAGCAAATCTACTTCATCCGGCTGACGTTGGTGAAGTCCAGGACTCACGAAGCTCGCGTGCAAAGTGTCAGGCTAGACGTGCCCTTCGTGACAGCGCTGTTGAAGAAACAATTCACGTACATGTGCCCAGCAGAAAAGATTTGGTGCTACTCCACTTCCCTTTTCCGGACCAGGCTCCAGGCAGCTTTTAAAAATCTGACAGGTAATGCCAGTCTTTGTGTGCCTAGCTCTCTTAGATCGGGGGGGGCAACGTACTGGTTCCGGGTTTGGGAAGAGGATGTGCCACGTTTGCAGTGGAGGGGGCGACGGATGCACATGAAAACCTTGATTCATTATGTGCAGGAGCTTGGGTGTGTAAATGTGCTTGAATCCATTGCCCCACGTCATAAGCATCGCATTTATGCGCTAGATGCTCTTTGTGTGTCAGCATGCAATGAGTTTGGTGGGGCGGCAGACCTGAATACACAGGTACAGCTGCTGCTGGAAAAACTGCAGAAGAAGCCTCCGACTAGGGCGTAAGCTTGTGTTTTGTCTGTTTAGTCGGTAGTCCCGCCCTCCCTCCCGATGTGCAGTATTGGGTACGAGGCTAGCTAAGCTTAGCTTCTAATAGCTGTTAACGTTGAGAATGCCCTAGTGCGGAGCGCGCGAAAAGATTGCAACTCGACTTGAGGATGCCACAAGCATGTTCCATCATGCTTTTTAAGACGAAATCGGTTGCAAGTCTTTCAGCTCAGCCACCGCCATCCCCGCCACCACGAGGCTAGCTAAGCTTAGCTTCTAATAGCTGTTAACGTTGAGAATGCCCTAGTGCGGAGCGCGCGAAAAGATTGCAACTCGACTTGAGGATGCCACAAGCATGATTAAGTTTGGCTCGCAGCCAGAGGCACAAAATTTTTCAGCGACAATCTAAATCGCTTTGATGACATTGCGAATCAAAAGCCTTTTTCAAAGCGTGGCTCAAGTCGTCAGGCTCAATTGGAGGAAACAACTATAATTAACGCTGCGTGCCCAGCTTCTACAGGGTGCCGTTCATCTGGCCCTTTATGTGCAGAATGATGAAACCTCCGCTGCGCGGGCCAAGCTCGTAGATGTGCAGGAGGTGATGAGAACATGGTGCATAGCTTTTTATACCAGGTCGCAATAGACGACCGCTGCTTGGGATAGCAGCAGGGTAGTTGTCTGGCGTGCCGTCATGGCCGCTCTCATGTCCACCTGCTGACATGGGTGCGTAGCGCCCGCTGTATAGTCGACTCGACTAAAGCGTGTGAATGAATGAAAAAATGATTGGCCTTCACGCCAAGAAGGTGAAAGAGCGTTGACGTTGGTGAACGCCTCTAGAGTGGAAACCTTCCCAGTGGACCCGCGCATGGTCACGCGGCTGCTCAGAAACGAGGTGTAGGGCATATCAATGAACGGGGATGATTCGGGATGAGCCTTCTTGGACGGCACCTCGTACCCGTGTCCTGTGCACCGGCTGTGGGACTCACGTTGCAGCCCGAGGTGCTTACATAGCTCCACCGAATTCGCACTACCCGTGATCTTAAAAAAACAGTGTCCGTGCACGAGTTGAATATAAGATATTCCGAATGAATGAATAACGTCATTTGGAAATATCATGATAACAAAGAAGATATTCTTCCGCTTGCGGACTTTATTTTCTTTGTTACATGACAGCCCCTTAACAAGGGGCGTATTTCCAAATGGTTCATGTCCCGAACATGAGTTTTCATGTGGTCATGAAATGGAGTTTTTGTGAACATGATTGGAAACAAAGTTTTCACGTATCATGTTTGAGTTTCACGATGTGTGTCCATGATACTTTGTATCCGATGGTTGGCTCTCAAGCCTAGCACACAAATCAAAATTTTCCCACCCACCCACCCTGGCGGGGTGATTCGGGATGAGCCTTCTTGGACGGCACCTCGTACCCGTGTCCTGTGCACCGGCTGTGGGACTCACGTTGCAGCCCGAGGTGCTTACATAGCTCAACCGAATTCGCACTACCTTCTTTTTTCACCCCCAGCATGTGAACATGATCCTTGTCGGTCTCAAGTTTGATCATGACGCTTTGTTTTGGACATGATGTGGGTTCAAGTGTGGCTGGAGTTCCGCAGCTCTGCCATAAAAACAAACCAGACAAACTTTTATGAAATGCCAGATAGCTTTCGGCTTTCGGTGTTTAGAAAGCGGTTCCAAAATTAATTCAATTTCCAAAAACATCACATTGATTTTCATGAAGCTCATGGCGATGAGGTGTTTGATTCTGATACCATGTTGCTGCCCATGCAAGCAGTTATCTCATGAAATGAGTGTTAGAACATTTCTATGCCCATTGTTCCATCTCAAGGTATGCACCTTAGGGCAAAGAAATTCTTGTCCCACCCAGCCAACCCCAAGGGGAACACCAATGCGAAATGCATCCGTGGTGAACCCAAGGATCGTGTGTGGGGGGAACATGTTCCCAACTGAAACACCCCAGTGCGCTGAAATGACAACATGTCCGTGTGATTGCAGCTTTGAATTATGAGACTTGATTATGATTGAATATGTATGAATATGGATTTTCGCTTTTACCTTGATCTTGAATGCCTGTTTGCTGAGCAACAGCTCCTGTACATATTTCGATTGCTCACACTTCTGTGAACATTATGCAAATACGATTTTGGAATTCTGGCAACTTCATAAGTTGTGTAATTGTTTTGATCTTTCTCAGGTGTTCGGTTCTGGACGCAGGTGCATGAACAATTTCAGGCAGTGGAATCGGATGCGAAGAATTAACAGATCTACCATTTTCATGCGTGTAATCCAAGATTCTGAATTCGGCGATTCTGAATTCGGCATATTCCCGTAGGCTGGCCTGTATCCCACTCGGCTTGAATAGACCCAATACCATGTGCGTAAAAAGTGGGCAGGTTGGTCTGAGGCATGGAGGGGGTGGGAATCCTAGGCAGCCGTAGTACTAGAAAAACTTGAGAGACGTTGAACTTGAACATTGCCAGGTCAGTTATGCCCTTGAACCGTTTCCCCTCAAAGACATGGTAACAGCAAAGAAAGGAATTGTATTGCACATTCCACACACACCGAACTCCCTACACTCAGCAGTCCCGCGTGTCATGGCTTGCTGACATGGGTCATGAGGTTATTGGTTCTGTTGCGCGGGTTGCATGCATGGACAAAAGCTGGCTTCGATTTTGGCTTGAGCAGGTTGTGCTTGAAATATTGATCAAACAACTCCAACGCCATCATGATGAATGACCACAACTAAGGATCATCCAAGCTCACTCAATGATTATTTTGTTCTCTTTTATTGTGACCTTATGGTGACCATACCGGGAACGGAATTGCAAGAGTGCCCTCGGCCTGTTTGTGCTGTTTCAAATATTTTACCTGAAGTTTGTTTTGCATGTGCTCGGGTCTTGCCAGGTCACCAGCCAGTGACCAAGAAGACGTTTATGATGTCGCCTGGCCAGGGGGCGCCATTTGGCTTCGCATCAACAACTTTATCCTTCATTTATGATGTGCAGCATGTTGCATATGTTGAGTGCCATGTCACACATGGTTGCTATTTTTCCGTGCTTCACATCTGGCGTTTGCCAAGGAGCCGGGTGTACGCTTTGCTGAGGTTGACGGAATTGTTATCCCTGTTCCTTACAGTGCTTCAGCTTGGCTTTCGATCTGGTTCAGGCTGTGGTGGCATGCCTTGCAAGCAAGGGATATTGCGTGATCCACACCAGTTTAAGCGATGAGGCCAGGCTTGTCGTTACATGTCGTGCGGTTCACTAGTTCCTACACGTAGACATGTGCAGGAACGGGAAGCAGCTTGGCGAAGCGCACAGGAGCACTGTGGAAGCTTCACCCTGCAGCTTTGTGCAGTAGCCAGTGGCCTTTTTGAGGAGCAGGACAGATATTTTTTTCGAATGAAGCAGGAGGTGGAGGTGGGCAGTCATGCGCCAAACGGTTCATAGTTCACAGAGTCTGTTGTCAGACTGGCTACATGGGCTTCGACTCCAACAACAAGGCAAAACCCAAGAAATCGCTTAAATGGACCTTTTACGGCAAGGATTTGTACACATGAAATCATTGCATTCGGTGGCTCTGATCGCTCTGACACGTTCTTCGGAGCGGGAAATTGTGCCCTGGTGCGTTGTGTTGTGAGTCCAGTCCAGGTGGCCTGGCTAAAGGAGCGGCGGGAAGAGCAGTCAAACCCTGACGGGCTCAACTATCCCGAGGCGTGTGCTTGACTAGATCTACATCACCTTCAAGCATCAATTCCACCAGACCGCACATAGTAACAATTTCAACCACTTTACTTCCTGCTAGGATGAGGAGCTCGACAACAAAGCCTTTGATGGCAGCCGTGACCCTTGCTTGATGGGGAGGCAGCGCTTTTCACATAGCCCTTGCCCAGGTGAAAAGCTCTTCACAGATCTCGCAACAGCAATCGGGCCGCTGACTCCCACGCAAATTGCTTAGCTTGATGGACTGCTTCACATGTCCAATCTTTTTGATACGCCTTCTCAATCGCTCTCATGAGCCTCAACCCCAGGCTCAAATTCGGTTTGCCTTTTGCGCAGAAGTTTGCAATCTGTCTCCACATGGCTTTCATCTTGCGTTCCTCATACAGATTGTTTGAATTTTTGGCATGGTGACGCACAAGGCTTCCCGGCTCATCGGTTTCATGCAAAGCCTGAGTCAAGGAAGAGTAAATCGCATCACACACAGATTTCCAAGTTGCCTTGTCAGTCACGAAAGCTCCCTCGTGTTTGCCAAGCCCATACGAGCCGGGCAACAAGGGCATTATTGGAACTGTGTGGTGATTGGCACCTTCACTCCCGGAATATATGCCAACAAAAGCAGGCAAGCCATGACATGTCTTTCGAAGTTAACCTACGAGCAGCATGAGTAAGCTGCTACTTCCAGCAGGCTGTTGCAGGCAAACCGCATTTCCAGTCATTCTCAGCTTGCGGTGCGCAGCCTTCAAGCACTGCCAACAAATGAGGCTGGGCGTCAGCTTCAGCTATCTGATGAACCCCCTCCTGCGAGTGTCTGTGGCCGAGCTCTTTCCAAAGTGTGCAGCTTCTGCCTCGCAACATCTCAGATGCAAGGTCCATGACAAAGAACGAAGAAGAGGATTACTTGCGGGAAGCTGAGATGTGGCTGAAGCTGAGGATGCTCGAGGATGAAAGTTGCGCTTTCACAGGCCGGAGTCCGTGCGGGACATGATGCAAGACCCGGATTCAGGTTGGACGGTTCCTGTCCAGGACCATTACAAGGGATGGTTCGCAGATTTTTTTCGTAGTAGCAGTGACACCACTTCATGCCTCATGCTTTTCACAGGAGTACCTTTTTTTCTCACGACGAAGAAGGCAAGCGATTTTGTTTTGAACTTGCTATGCCGAATGGATAGATGCCCTGCAGAAAGCTGCTTGTTAGGCTCTCTGTGATGCACATCATTGAGGCTGAAGGTGGCGAGGTGTGGTTCTACCCCAGGGCCGTGCTCTCAAGACACAACGCAGGCAGCTCCGCACAGGGTAAGAAGTCATGTCATGGCCTTGTAAGGATGGCTCTTTCCTAGCCGGTGGTAAGCGGAGCATGCAAAAGCCTCAGACATTTGTTCTAGAAACTTACATGCAAGCTGACCTGAAAACTGGTGGGTGTTCACTCTAGTATTCGCGAAGGCTCTATCTTTCTGTGCTGGCTGTCTAGCCGATGTCACTTTTTCTGGCCCCTTCGTTCAAATAAAGTACATCCGCTTGCAATTACTTTGATTTGTCCCGCAACTGTTGCACTTTACCTACTATGCAGAGGCCGCGGAGCTTAACAATAGTCTGTGATGTCCATATGCTGACTCATGCTCTGTTCTTCTTTTGTGCTCTTCTCCGGGCTCCTCCCTTTGAGCTTTGGCAGCTGAGTTCCTCTTGCGCGCTCTGCCACCCAGGAGAGTGCCAGCTGCTCCAAACAAGCTTCTGATTTTCCGCCATGACGTCATGGACTATTCGTTCCAGGCAGCCACCTGCAAGAAGGGTTTTTCTAAGCGATGCAACTTATTTCTACTTGAGGCCGCTGGCCGGACCTTGGCACTGCAGGTGGGGTTGCCCAAAAACATCACGTGGTGCAGGTGCCATTTCACATGTTCAGGCTTGGCTTATGCAGGACATCGGCAAGACGCGTGCTGAGCAATATTATGAGGCTTTGCGAGTCCTGCGCCAAATTGATGCTGAGCTTGGGACTGTGTAAGGTCGCAAGCAATTCGAGAGATGTATTTAAACTTGGGGCAGATGGGAGACAAGGGTGAGGCCCGGTGTCGCTTGATGCCAACTGTTGCGAGTGTTCCTTTGGAGCCTGAGAGAGGTGGTGTGCAATCCAGGGCCAGAAGTGCCAGATGGACCAAAGGCGCTGATTTGCGAGCTCATCAGTTCCCATGTCTACGTGTCCTGCTCTAGAGGCAAGCATCATGGCCCTGACCACCCGGTTGCCTGGCGAGGTGGATCAAAACACCACTGAGCCTACATGGTTGCATGGCTCACGCCTTGCTCTAAAAATGCTTTGTTTCCAGCTCTGTTCGAATTTAACTTGCAGGCATGGTCTCCGGCCCAGTACTGGTCAATGTTCTCTTCAGGAGTGCAAGACCTTGCGCACATCCTTAAACATTTTTGCGCATGTGTGCATGGCCAGGCACGGACACGTGTTCACAGTGGCCATACTCTCGATGGGAGTCCCTGACTTGGGTCGTTCTTGAATTTCTCGGGCATGTCGACAGAGCTGAAGATGGAAGGACTGAGCCGTATTACGAGGAGGGTGCAGACTCCATCGCCACCGGCAAGTCTTACACATGCTTCTGTCTTACAGGGTGCAGTAGCATGCGTGTTGGACTGCAAGAGACGATCGTGATGCAGGTCACGGTGGCTTTGTCAGCCAAGATCAGATCACTCAGTTCGACAACGGCCTGCCGGCCCTGTAAAGCGTTGCGTGAGCAGATTCATAACAAAAGTTTGGGAAACTGAACTTTTGCCTTGCCGTCTCGCCAGTCTTCTTTGGCATTGATGAAACGGAAGCTCGGCCGGGAAACTCGGGTCTGATTGCATTCTTCAGGCTTACCTGCAGTCTGCACTGGTGGGAAGGTCCATGATTCCCGGCCAAAAGATGTCGATGGAGGCAGTGAGCCCAACGTAGCTGCATTGGCTTCCTGCCAAGCGTAATATCTGCAGGTTGGCTACGAGTGTCTGGTGGCTGCTGGCTTCAACAAGAACAGTTGACTCCTCGTTTGCCTACCTTGCAACTTTGGCATGGAGTTTCTGGTTCCGCCGGTTTCAGCTGGAGGCCTGAAAGGTCGCCGCATGGGTCTGTGGTTTGGTGATGCCACTTGCTCAGTTAAGGTAGCAATTCACACCACGTTCCGCAGTCCAGCATTGAATGCACATGTTTGCAACCGGATTCAAGATCTTAATGCGTTTGATCTGCTGCAATGTCACTCTACATTGTGAACACCGAAACAATGACCCCGTCTGCATGCTGTTGTTGCTTCATCCCCAGGTGTAGAAGCCAAAGCGGTGACACAGTGTATTGTTTAGGATCCAACCCAAACAACAACAGACCCCCCGAAAGGCCGTCATTCAACTTCATGGCTCGCATTCTGATCCCAACATGAATGAACAAGCGCTACCACAGCCACCACGACGACGACGACGACGACGACGACGACCACCACCACGACCACCACTAC